CTCACCCCAAAAGTGGTGACTAACAAGTGTGAAAGGTCTGCAGCCTTAACTTCAAAAAGAAGCGCCATTCGCTAATGAAAAATGCGCCGCAATTTTAATTAGCGGCGTGCACAGTGAGCCGCGCGGTATGTTTCTGCACAGGAACGAACATCGTATAGGCACGACGTACGACACGGAGGCGATGGGGCAACACGGTCACACGGCCGAAGTAAAGAGAGTCCGCTAGAGACCAAGAAAAAATACAACTAGCAAGCAAAACGCGTGAAATCGGAAACAGTCTGTTAGTTGGTAATAAAGCAGATGTCGCAAAATGGGTTAGAGCCATCGAGGCACAGTAGGATGAGCCTCATGTCATATACAAGAAATTCAAGGTAAGTTGAAATCGCCTGCCATTATTATTTTATCGTCTGGCTGAATGTTTGATGCCATACACGATTAAAGAGAGTTAAAACAAAACCTAGACTTTTTTGTTATAGGGACTATAAACGCTACTAATATACACATAACTATTATTTAGGAGAAGTTTACGACAAAGTGATTCGATGCCTATCACGTCTGGCATCTCTGACCTTGAGGCACTTTTTGTACAAGATAGCCACGCCCCCTCCCCGCGATTGCCTATCTTTCCGCATGGTTGAATAGTTTGGGAAATCTATTTCGTCATCCTGAATATTCGACGATAGCCAGGTTTCCGTTATAATTAGAACATCCGGCTCATGAGTCATGACCACCGCCTCAACTTTTTCCAATTTATTCAGCAAGCTTGCCTCTTTCTTAGCAGCTTTCGGGCCCCGTCAATTCCATGACTCGGAGAGGGGTAAAATGTCGCTCGTGATCTCGCCCCAAATGTACTGTTGGTCATTAAGTTCAATTTTATCAAAGAGTAGGGTGACCTTTTCTCCAGATACCTTGTTTTGTGTCATTCTTCTCAGTAGCTTCTTCCAGACTTCTTGGGCGTTTCTCTTTTTTTTTTTTGAAAAATTATTGTTTATTCAAATGTCTGATCCTTTGAGCTTTGGCAATTTTGCAGGATGGTCATATTGTCTCGAAAATCTATAGGAGCCTCAAAATTACTGGGCGGCTCCTCCCCCGCGAACCTTTGCCCTAGTCGGTGAATTCTTTCTACCTCTACTGTTGGGAGTTGTAGGCGGTCTATTATGATTTATTTTGTTGCCCTTTCTTCGAGCGTCCTACTGTCCTCCCGACCAGTTTCTTCTAATTTAAAGATAATCAAGTTGTTTCTTCGAGTACGGTTTTCTAAGTCCTCACACTTGCGATGAAGAATACTTAAATTTGTTTCGAGGAGTTCTACTTTTGCAGTGCATTGGTCGATTGTTGGTTTAACCTCACCAAGCTCTTTTAGATTTCTTTCGAAATTATCAATTCTGGCTAATCTTGTTTGTTGGCTTGTTTTGCTTTCCTTGAGTTCGTAACACAATGTATCCAGCTTTTTCATTACGTCCTCCAAAGTAAGGTTAGCATTGCTCTCAACATCACCACACAGCAAGAGCAGCTTTTTCGATAGTTCATGAATGACATTCCAAACAACAAGTAGGCTCCGTGGGCAAGGCAGCAAAAATAGACTCTTTTTTACTTCGCGACGAATTAATGTAACACTTTCTCACCTGCACGATGAACAAGAACGGGTTAGTGGCCGCCATCCTTGCGTAGCCACCGTGCCCACAAAGAGCGCTGTGATGGAAGTATGCTTTTATAGGGAGTTTTCACTGACGTAATTTTGTCGGCCATTTTGTTGTTTTGAGCTGTTTAGCGTGTGCAGAAGGCAAGCATTCCAAGGATTTACATGACCCCTTACATGCGTAGAGCACAGGAGATTACAAGTCTTACCACGCTGACATCTCTTCAACATTTTGCGATATAATCCTTAATATTAGTAAATTTTTTTGAAAAAAATAAACGTACAACAAAATGGCGGATTGACGTCATATGAAAACAACCTATATCCTACGGTGGCGCAAGGAGCGTCGATGTGTCCGTCGGTGTCGTTGTCGATGTGTGAAGAGCTGCAGCCTCGCAGCAGCATGAAAGTTTCCATTTCGTCGCATGATGTCGCCACTTTCGATGTCTTCTTTTCCGTTGTAGTAAAGTTTCCACCACACAAGACAGTAGACGCGTGGTGGTCCTCCGTACCATGACCAAGCGAGAGAACTGGAACTGCAGTCATCACCTGCACGATGAACAAGAACGGGTTAGCGGCCGCCATCCTTGCGTAGCCACCGTGCGCACCAACAATGATTTTAAAATGTTTTTGCGTATTACAAGCCAGACGAAATGCCTTCACTTAGGATTTCCTCATTTTGCCGTGGGTTGAGCCGGTTTGTCGCCTCCTATTCTTCTTACCTCCATGCCCGTGGCAGACGCTCACATAGTGAGCGGGAAGGACGGAGCAAACGAACCAGCATCGTGGCCAGCCTCTCTGGCATAATCGATGGATCGCACTCGGCAGTCATTGCCTAGATTTTTGATGATCCAGGTGGCGAGTCTTTTTGAATGTCTCGAGACAACTGGTTGCATATTTAGCCAGCGTTGGTAGCTTTTCTCAGTCCCTTATTTTTCAAAAATCTGCTTTCCACTTAACTCCCCACCCCACTTGACCTACCCCCCAATTAGATGCGAATGACATGATATTCGAACTGCAAACTAAAAAGAACTCCGCAACCGGAAGAACAAGGCCAATTGTCATATTGCTTGTTTTTGTTACTCAAACCAAAGCACTAAAATAGGGCTGGAGCATACGAAGGATGTGATCTGGTTGGCTACCTTCTACTTCCACTCGCTGGTTCGACATAATCAGTCACTCGGAGGCCGAAACACGAAGCCCAGTAACTAGAAATGTCGTCCATTTGTTGTTTGTTGCGCGCACTATCCTCTCCTTTTTTTTTTTTCTTTTTGTGGATTCCAAAGAATGTTTCAATACGTAACTTTTTTTCTGGAAGGCGGAAGGCATTTCTTTTGGCTTGTAATGGGCAAAAAACATTTTAAAATAATTGTTATAAAAAGAGCGTCCTCCACGTTGCTCAAAGTTTCAATACAAAGACCGTGAACAGATCGAGATACAAAATCAAGTGTGCAGCTTTCCAGAAGTAGTGTGAGGCGCCGGTCACTCGTCAAATTTATCGGGCCATTATGTACACCAACCAAAGAAGAGCATCCCGCAGAGTGTTTTCTGGTTTCGCTTGCAGTGCCATTATCTTTGTCACGCCTCTCTTCTTGAATTCTGTGGAAAGATTTTCCAAACTATTTTGTTTTGTTTTATGGAAAATATGTTTTGGTCTTGCTTTCAGAGGCACCGCCCCGGGTGCCGCTGACCCTAGTGACGTCACTGCCCAGTAGCACTGACATTCGATGTATCAGATTATTAAAAAAAAAAATAAAAAATACTTGAATACTGTGCGCGTTTCCACTGCTTACAAAAATCACAGTCCACCCGTGCTAAAAATGGTAAGTGTCAAAGTGTGCAGCGAGCGCGTGGCTTCGTGGTTTCGTTTGCGCGAGAACGCGTACAAATGATGAAGGATGCGATCAAGCCCCGTCCTCGCGCCAGCAGCTTTGACAGCGTTGGATTATTCGGGCAATCATCACTCGACTCGAATACGAAACCGTAGGGAAATTTTGACTACGTGTAGTTGGCCAGCCATTTAAAATATGCGCCGAATCACTCGCAGTAGATGAGAAATTTAGCCAGTGCAGTACAACCGCTAGTCTGGAATCGTTAACGTGCACAACGCAGTAGTGATACAATTGAAAGATGATAGACCGCGCTCATGGTGCATTTCGAAGCTGTAGGCCTTATTTTTTCTGGTCATATACGATTAGGCAAAGTGAATGAAAAACTTCGGGAGAACAGACGCTTTAGAATTTCCGGCGTTCCTACGATACTTACGACGCATACCCTTGAAAAAATAAATCAACATAAATATATTTGAACAATGTCCCGTTTATTTTTTTTATTTTTTCATTAATACGAAATTATTATTTGATCAAATCGTTGCAGAACAATTCAGTACAACAAACCACTAAGATGCCAAAAAAAAAAAAAAAATCTTTTCGGCGTCTTTTTTTTTTTTTTGAACGATTATTAGGGGCAATTTCGTTGCAAGGCAGAATGAGGCTTGAAGAATTTATAGCACTTTAATTTTTTTTTTTAATTTACGCATACTGCGAATGTTTTTGGAGGTTGTGGCAGAACGGGTAATGGAGTTAGCTCCACAAGAGGTTATACAAAACCACAACAGAAATATACGCAGAAATGCAACCATAATTATTTTCACGAACAACTTTCCAAAGGTTTGAGAAATAAATCAGCTGATGTCAAATTTACATGTGGTTCAGAAGGTATATTCCATTCCTCGGTGGTACGTGGGAAAAACGAAAATTTAAGAGTTACTTCGACGCAGAAAGGGCACAAGAGCCCTATTATGAAGATTTTTCGTGTCACCAACAAATCTAGGAGTTAAATACTTTGTAGTGTCTATGTTAAAGTCACCGTTTAACATAAATTATCAAAATGTTAGTCTCGCTTTACGATGCCCAGTCGATAAACAATAAATTTGAGCGATTCTGTAAAGTGGGGCAACAAATTCGTCTTTTTGTATTGGTTGTATATGAAGCGCAATGCAAACAAATCTCTGCACCTTCTCTAATTTATTAATGTTAGCAGTTGTGTGTGGACCCCAGACCTATTATTATTATTATTTCGTGCCGGAACTTGTTCTCTTTACGCCCCAAAGCATATTTCGTTGAACCCTACTTACACTCGCAGTATGGGACAAACTTCTTAAATATGTATATCTTTATTATAACTCTGTCCTTGATAACATTGCACACATCTTAAAGCTTGTAGCCCCCCCCCCCCCCCCTCTCTCAAAAAAAAAAAAAAAAAAAAAAAAAAACGAAGAAGGAAAGGAAAGAAAACAGAAAACTGCGCACCGAAGAACCAAAACCGAACCGAAACCCGCGGCAGTCCAACCAAAACTCCTAAACGTTCTTCGCTGCCAGTTCCAATGCTGGCCACGCTGTGATTCAAAATGGCTACTTTCATTCGGAATGCTGCAAAATCCGTGGTGATCAGCGACGGGTACCTCGGGTAGCAACCTTTTCGGCGCTCTTCTCAAGAAAAGAAAGGTGCGTGTACGTATAACTCAAACGTTACGGTCCTATCCTGTTCCGATAAACGACTTCTTCACTTTCCGCGAAGCGCGCTGTTCAGCGCCTGCTAGAGAAGTTTCTCCAAGGCTCCGAGATGTACCGCTTAGTTTTAGAATTCTCTTCGTAGCAAAGACGGCTTTGGAACCTGCCCGATGGACAAAATGCTCCCACATTACAACGCTTAAATTTTGTGTCCTAGGCGTGTCGCGTTCACGCTGGCGACGGTCGTCCGTGCAGATATTACAGGCTCCTAAGCGATCATTCCTCAATGGGGGCGGCTGCTTTTGCGCTGCACTAGTGTGCGCAACTGGCTCGGTTTGTGTGTTAAATTCAGTATTTATTTTAAAGCGGTTTCTAAAAGGGTTTCCCTGATCTCGAGCCTTCGTGTTTCGGTCGCGGATCGATGGCTACACGAGCAGAAAACGAACATGCTAAAAGCCAGTACGCACCATTGAGAGTTTGTAGAGCTTTTTCGCTGCTCTACATAACTCGGTGGATGAGTTCTTCATTATTTCTCGCTCTCTTTACACTCTTGTCACATAGAAGGAGAGAGTAGTGCTAGGACTCTTGTGCATGCTGTCTACAGAAAACATGAATAGGCGAAGTAGGCAATGATGCACCATATTTTTTATATATATATATTTTTGTGCTCGCACCTGCTCGAAGCTCACCTTGTAATGATACAATGTACGTACGGCTCAGACAAATGGGGCATATGTAATTGCAGTAACTCTGATTTAGGATTGTAGTTTTCACATTGCCTCTTGTCACTCAGCATTGCACAAAGGCAGCGGACTCCAGGGGGGCTATGTTCGACAAATGTTTTGTTTCTCCTAAAAAGAAACGGAAGTGACGGAAGGGACGATATCTTGTCCGATTGGTTAGAGGCTCAAATTATAAAAGTTCCCTCTTTCGTCATTTGAGCCTCTAGCCAATCAGATGTGATATCATCACTTCTGTCCCTTCCGTTTCTTACTAGGAAAAACAAAACATTTGTCGAACATAGCCCCTCAGGGGCAAGGTGCCACTTCTCTTGTGCTCCCAGAAGACAGTGGCTTTCTACGAGTAACTGATAAGCAACAAACTTATCGCACAGCAGAACCTGTGGGCACAGAAGAAAGGGGACCGGATAAGGCGACATGAATAGTTTCCCAAATTTTGTACAGCAGCTTTGGCTCGTTAACGGCTGTCTTCATGACATGCTTTCTATCAGCTCTACTGGGCCTCACATGCTCTGCGAGTGTTGCAACTTAATTTATTCTTTCGTTATATTTTGACTGCAGAAGTGTTTTTCATAATATTTCTGCACAAGTCGTTTCCTGTGTTCTGTTTGCTGTGTTGCTTTGTTGCACAAAGACCTATTTACACAGCAACATTATTTTTACGTTGCGTAATGTTACAGGAGTGTAGGTGTGCTAATGTCAGTAGTCGCTGGGACGTCCATGCTTTGTATGAAGCGTGTGGCAATCAATACAAGGCGTAAGTTTGCTCGTGACTTACAAAATCGCAGAGGTCTTGGTGACTCATAACATAAAATATGGAATCGTAAGAAAATGGCCCTCTGGGAACGGGCCTTAAGACCATGTCATGCGAAAGAGATGTGACGTCGGACAGATCCTGACATTCTGTTCCTTTATGAACACTTTTGCCTGTTCTGTAACTCGTTCAGTGCCTAAAAGCACAGCAACTATGCAGTTCTACAGAGCCTCGTATTGTGCTCACTTTTGGAAAGAGACGTGAAAACAGGAAACGAGCCAACTAGCTCATTGGAATGCATGAAGCTCTTAGATCAGTGGATGGGTGCAACAAAGGCCAGGTCTCCCCTATCTTATCTTGGTCGAGATAAGATTGCCACTGTACCACTTCCACGGACCTGCTTTCTCGTTTGAGGCGTCGGACATCTCAACAGGAAACCTACCTCTTCAGCTAATGTTGCCCTCCACATAATTAAATTTTTAAAAAAGTTAAAAATTCCAGTTAGAATTTTTTTTAAACATATTGAAAGTGAAATTTATGAAAGCAGTTAGAAATGAGCACCAAATTAGAGCATGCAAATATCCATCAAAGCGGGTATTTGGTTAGAACAGAGGGTAGCCAGTCTGGCTTCGAAAGCCGGTTATCAAGATTTTTCAATACAAACAACCGGTTGGGCAAACCGGTTATTCGGTTTCGTATCATGCATAAAAATAATATGGCTTATTTCATATTTCTTTTGTGGTCCTAGAACCACAAAGAATGTATCATGTTTCACTCGTAATTAGAAAGTAATAAATTTACTAATTTGTGTGCATGTAGAGAGGAGAGTAAATTGTAGGGGGCAATTTGTCCAGCTTAGTTTCTACGGAGATAGGCGTTTACCCATTACAAGGCCTCTGGACCGAAATTGTTACCCGATCTGCGTCGCTCGAGCCCAGGACATAGCTTTGACACGAGTACTGCGACTCGCGGTCAATTGGTGCTTTGCTGGTTGAACAGGAGCTCCAGCCGAGCAATGGTGCGGTGTTCGGCTATGTCAACTGAGCGCCGCGTTGGAAACTTGTTTGTATGTTGTTGTCCCCATGGGTGTTGTTCCCAGCTTAGCCGCTAGGGGCACGACGATAATTGGATGGATGAATGACCTCCGAATTTCTTCTCTAATTTTCAAATTATGCGGGCGAAAGGTGTAATTCCCGGGCGAAAGGTTGCAGGGGCCAACATTTATTTCGCCCAAACAATCTCGATTCCTGTACAGGATAATGTGTATGAATGTTCGAGTAATCAGATATTTAGATAACCGAGTAATGTAACCGGTTGTTTGAACATATCTGGTTATCTCGTTTTCAGATTCGAGTATTTCGCTCGAATAACCGGGTAACCGGTTATTTGAGAAACCGGTTTGAACTCCTGGCTCTGCACCAGATTGTTGTTTATATTTGGAGCAAATTGGTGTTTCCCCAAGAAACATTCGTTATACCTTTACCTGTCTTGTGGTAAGCAGTGAAAAACAGAGATCCTTGGAACAACATGCAGGATGCTCACGAGTAAACGTCTGAATCTCTAAAGCAGCAATCCCACTATTCGTTCATCGTACAAGACACTATTCTCTGCAGACAGGATAGCAGAATTATCTGAGAATGTGCCTCAAGCATGCTCAAATTATGTCTGCTTCATACATGCACACTTATAACGTGTTTGCAGACAGTTTTTGTACGACCAATGCGACAGGACTGTCATGCAAAAAAAAAAAAAAGAAAAAAGCTCAAACAGTCAAAATATGGTAAGGGTGCAGGCGAGCTGGTGAATATTGACCATGTTGAATTATAACCTGAGGCTGGGGTAGAGAAGAAACATCAAAACATAGAAGAGACAGAAAATTTTGTCTCTTTCTACATTTTGATGTTTCTTCTCTACCCCAGTCTGAGGTTAATTCAACATGCTCAAGCAGTGTCACCAGATTGTCTTTTGTATGATGTATAAGCAGTGTTGTGACTGGGGCTTAAGGGGGCATCGCAAGCGTTCTGGTAATTCGGGAAGCACCTGGATTACCGATATCCAGTTTTGTACTCTGAGATTGCCTGATATGAAGTGTTAAGCCGCCACAATCCAATCCGAGTCGACAAGCGACGAAGATGGCGGATCCGTGTTGCAGGGCAAAGTGGCGGAATCCCACTGGAGGATGTGGACGGTGCGGCTGGAGGGGGGGCCACGCAGGGTGAACCATGCGGCCGTGGCCATCCACGGCAGGGTCTACTCCTTCGGTGGCTACTGCACGGGAGAGGACTACAACACCCGCAAGCCCATCGATGTCCACGTGCTCAACACAGGTGTGCCTTTCGGACCATGTAGCGGATGCTCGGGTGATACAATCTCTGTAGGCATTTGTTGCTTCCTCACTCCCAGTATAAAAAATGCAAGGAATTATGTGCGAGGAATTACGGGAAGGTCTTGTATGCACCTTGTTGCAGTAGAACCTACCATGTGACACTGAAGAGAGTGAGAGAGAAAAACAGGGTAGTGCAGTTGCTTGCCTGCCCTCGCCCGCTTTTCTGTGTTTTCTCCGTCATCCCCAAGGCTCGCCTCCGTCGTCTGTTACAACTGGTTCTATACAGGAAGTTCCCAGCATTACTTTTGATGCCGTGGGGCGTGCTACAGATTTTGCTAAAGGTCTGTCGTCGGGCTATCCATCTTCAGAGGTAAGGTAATGTAGCAATTTTCGACCGAGAGAACCAGTTATTGCAGCGAGTGACTTGTTTCGCTTGCCCGTACAAGAAGACCAGTAAGGTCTGCGAATGCAAGTGAACGACTGCCTGTCTGCCCGGGTGTATCTCGAAACAACCCATTTTTATTTAAACCCTTCTCGTTTGAACCCATTCGCAAAACGCCCTTCTCGTTTTAACCTTTCGCGTTTCGACCCTTTCTTATTTATACCCGTCTCATTTGAACCCATTCTCATTTGAACCCTTCTCGTCTGAACCCATTCGCAAAACGCCCTTTGCGTTTTAACCTTTCGCGTTTCGACCCTTTCTCATTTGAACCCGTTGTCATTTGAACACCGTAGTGAGGTATAAAAAGAAGGAAAAACAGTTGAAGGATGAAGGTTGAAGATGAAGCGAAGCGGCACCATTTCTTGCATAGCACATGAAACAATTTTCCTTATGCCTGTGTGCCCCCCCGAGTCTGTTGACGTAGCTACGTGGTCACATGGTGACGTGGTTTCAAAAGTGCTAGCGCAGATTTGGTACTTCATTTCTCTTTTGTCGCTGTATGTCGTTAAGATGTCGTCGTGTGGAGCGGATGGATCCTTGTGCTAGTCGTGTGTTATTGCTTGTAATGGCCAATTCGGGTGGTCATTTTCCCTGAAAAAAAGTTTTCCCATATCTTCGGCAAGGGCGTTCGCGTGGTCAAAGGCTGGCGGGTGCAAGCTTTTCGGGTTGCGCTTCTCAGGCGTGTACCGGCAATTTACCAGCAGAACTTTTCCCAAGCTCCAAGAGGTTGGGCAGCTTGTCTGCCAGACTGTATTTGGTATCGTCACTTCCGAATCGGGATAAGGAACCAAACGAAACAATGCTCGTTGAGGCGGCAAATAGCGGGTTCGAGTGGCAAACGAAGCCATCGAGACAGGCACCCTTTTGTGCTCTGAGACAAGATAGCAAAAACAATGAAGAGAAAGATAATTTATGTTTCAAAGAAAGTCAGCATTTTTGGAAGAATTTATCCAGCCTGAGCAAGGTATGTTTGCTCTGATACACGGGCTGCATCATACATCACTTTATTTTACAACTCTGTAATAACAAGTTATTACACCGCTGAAAAAAAAGTATGCATAGTGATGCAGTTTGAAACTTGAACACGCATTACAATTTCAAGGAGGGTGGGTGCAATGAGAAGACTGAGGATTCCAAAAAAGGTACTAGAGAGTTTTAGTTGATCGTTCCGATACCCCCGATAGCCCCGATAACGATACTATGCATGCGCAAGGGAGGCGGTGGCGGAGTATCGGGTATCGTTATCGGAGTCATGGGAACGATCTACTAAAATTCTCTACTAACAGTAAACAGAATATGGAAAGCGACGCTGGCAAGCCTCCGTGGCAACAGTTAATTGAAAATCCAAACAAAGTTTATTGAAATTTGACGCGCGTGCGGGCAGCACCACACTGATTTATACATCTGCCCTTTCATTGATTTTATATTTTATTATTCTGTCAGCTGTACGGACTGTGGTAATGCCAATATTTTGAAAAGCTTTGTGAAGCCGCTTCTGTTTACACACATCTCAAAGAGTCGTAATTTATTATGTTGGAGTATGCAGCGTGCTCATGGTACCACAGAATGATCGAAGAAGAAGTTAACAGAGCTCACTCGCGACCCAGTCAAATAAAAACGCCAGTTCATTGTGCTTTGCTTTTGGGTGGAGAGGGTCACGTGATGCGCCGCTGGCGCGTTTTCGGTGACTGGTGCCACAGGCAAGGGCTCGAAGGCAATTAATTATCCAAATTCGCCGTAAATACCGCAGAAAGATTGCGAGATCATGATGTTGGATTAATTTGGGTTCGAAATGAGAGCGGTTGAAATGAGAAAAGTCTTTCTGACAATGGTCAAAACCAGAAAGTATGTTTTGAGAAAATTTGAAATGAGAAAGGTTAAAATGAGAAAAGTCGTTTTGAGAAGGGTCAAAACCCGAAAGTTTTTTTTGAGAATGGTTTAAATGAGAAAGGGAGAAACGCAGAAGTTGTTTTGCGCTGGGTTGAAATGAGAAGGTAAAAACGAGAAGGTAGAAATGCGAACGGGTTCAAATGAGAACCACCCGTCTGCCCAGTGTCCCTGCGGTGGACCCTGGTCCCCTGCCAGCCCAACCTGGAGGATGTGCCCTTCCAGCGCTACGGCCACACGGTGGTGGCCTACGGGGACCATGCCTACCTCTGGGGGGGACGCAACGACGACGGGGCCTGCAACATCCTCTACTGCTTCGACACCAGTGAGTGCCTGCATTCCTTTGCACTCTCTGTTTGGCTCATGGAGCGGAGCTACACCACCTAAAAGATAAGGCTTGCACATGACGTCATTGTTTGTGGATCCCGTAGGGATAGTTAGGGGATTGTCTAGTCTTCTAAGTGGTTTTGGGCGGAGATCCTAGGAAGGACATATTCAGGATGGTCACGACTAAATGTATGGATCTTTAAAGCTGCAGTCACACTGTTCATATATCGTACAAAAGACATGGTGTTCACTTCCTCTCTCCACTGAAATGCGCAACACGGCCCAGCCCCAGCAGCGGGCTACGCATGTCCCACTTCCCCGGCAGAGTCGGAGCAGGACAGGTCGCATCCTCCTCTGTAGACCATTCTACTAGGGTGAGAGGAGAGAGGGAAGTGAGCCTCCATGTTGGGGCAATTCTTGCGGTACAATACACCGGAACTGCCCAAACGATGAGAGTGGCCTTTCTCTCTCCTACCCCGACGAATCCATTGAAATGCCCGGATGAATAAAGGAGCTGCTGTCAAACAAAATGGCGCTGCCCAGAGAGTCCTTAGTGGAATGGTCTATTGCCATTGACAGGTTAAGTGTGTGGGACCAGCTCTTTCTACAAGCCCTATACTCTTTCCACTCTAGCAAAGCGAATGCCTGAGAGAAGGTGGGTCCCTCCTTGCCTCTTCTCCAGCGTATGCTCTGCTAGAGCGCAAAGGGCGTAGGGCTTTGTGGGAAGGGCCTGTCCTGCACTCCAAACCTGTCATTGACTAAAGGATCCAACTTTGGTCCCTGGTGGCGGCGAGGGCTTTGTTGGATGTTTGGGCCGGCTCAAGGACCTGTACTCCTTCCCCACGCAGACACCCTGACCTGGAGCCGTCCCCGGGTGCACGGCCACATCCCGGGCGCCCGTGACGGCCACTCGGCCTGCACCATGGGCCGGCAGATGTACGTCTTCGGGGGCTACGAGGAGCAGGCCGACCGCTTCTCGCAGGATGTCCACGTGCTCGACCTGGACACCATGCACTGGCAGTACGCCCCCACCTGGGTGAGGGGCCCACCCTTCCTACAGGGTAGCTTGTACAGGGGCCACTACAGAGTGTCTGCCAACCTGAAAATCCTGGAATTTTCGGGGAATTTTAAAGCACCTGCCAAAGAGGGGGGATAGTCAAGGAATTAATATGGAAAGCAGCTCATTTTCGAACTTGTGGTGTATTTTATGAAACTATGAAAAGAGATGTTACTGTTTTTGTCCTATATTTTTGTTTTGCTTGTTTGTTTGTTTGTACTTACCAGCTGTGTGTTTGTTTGTACTTACCAGAAAGAGAGAGAGAGAGAGTTAAAATAAAAAAAAGCACTTGCACGAACTTACATTGACGTACATAAATCGAAAATGAACAGTTTCTTTATTTCACTATAAACAACATGAGATACAGCATTTCCACGAAAACGTAGAGACTCATCTCAGTGAAACTTTTAGTGTTGAACTGCGCTCGCCAAACTACAAACATCCACATTCAAGCTGCTAACTGCGAGTCGCTAAACATTATGGAGGTTCTCGTCAGTCATTCGTGAGCGCAAGCTGGATTTTATGCACTTCAATCGTGAAAAAGTCTGCTCGCAGACGGGCAGCGAATTAGTCAACTTTATTTTTTTGTTTCTTTAGCTGACTGCGTAGGGGGGAGGGGGGTTACCGGGAGGCTGAGGGCCGTATGATACCACCTCGCGGGCCGGATCCGGCCCGCGGGCCGCTGGTTGCTGACCACTGCTCTAGTGGGTGTGGCCATCTTGTTGCCTAGAGCAGAGTGGATGCAATTGGTGATAATTACGAATAAAAACTGTGACTTCATAAGAAAGCTCAGGCCTGGGGAAACCTAAATGCAACACACGAGGAGTGCTCCTCATACGTTACATGTCGGTTTTATGGGGAGAAAGCTTAAAGTTTTCTAGCTCTGCTGGACTTAAGAAAAGGACATTTTCAATTCACCGTAAAGCAGTCTTGGATTTGTTTCTCGCTTACTTGCGGAAGGGGGCCTCTAGGACTCTTCCCCTGCCCCAGAAGCCACTGGGCAAAAGAGGTACCAATCACACCCACTTGCTCACTCTGTTTTAAAAACGAATATGAGATCATTTTGTCTGCACCTACATACTCTTGTATTGCCATCTGACTGCACTAATTAAAAACATACTAAAGTTCAGTTGATTAGATCGCTAACTAGATTTTCTCGAAAAGAGTTTTTTTAACTAACCTATCTTTAGGAAGTGCTGAAAGTCTTTGCTGAAACACCCGGTAGGTGAGAATGGCCTTTATAGCAAAACAGAGTACGAGTAATTAATGTCCAAATGCACTAGAAGCGCCAAAAAGACAGACGAAGTAAAGACAACGACTACAAAAAGCGCTTTGTATTGTCGTCGTCTTTACTTTCTTTCCGTCTGCGCCTTGTGCTGTCGCCGTCTTCACTCTGTCCCCGACTTTTTTACTCTTTTAGTGCGCCCCACTCACCATTTTATTGTCCAAATGCTTTAGCCTCCGTATTAAGGCCACCTCTTTCCCCGTTTCTCTTTACTCTCGACCCTTTTGTCGTCTGTCCCACTCTGGCAAGCCGGCGCCAGCCCCCGGTCACCCCCGCGTCTCCTTGCAGGGCGTTCCCCCGCAGTGGCGGGACTTCCACTCTGCGACGGCCATCGGCAGCCGCATGTACGTGTGGGGCGGGCGGGGAGACAGCCAGGGGCCCTACCACTCGCAGAGCGAGGTGTACTGCAACCGCATGGCCTTTCTGGACACCCCCAGCTCCTGCTGGGTCCAGCCCCAGACGTCTGGGGAGGCCCCTGAAGGGCGCCGCTCTCACTCCTCCTGTGAGTGCCCTGCCGGCTTCAACGGTAGTCAAGGTCGCATAAGAATTAACCCTTTGATGGTCATCGCCGTACCCGTACGGCAGCCATTACAGATTTGAAAGCGCCGCACACACTGCGGGAGGTCTTGCGATGTGGAGAGCAAGTCGGCTGCTTCCTGCACAGGAGTTGCGGTGACGTCTGAACATTGCCAAGCTCTGATTGGCTGTGATTGAAAGAATAGTGGGTAGACCTGTATGCTAGATGCCTTGAGGTCTACCCACTATTTTTTTCAATCGGCCACTAAGAGCTCGACGTTCTGAGATCTGACACCCCTGTGCAAAGAGCAGACAAACTTTCACTCCGCATTTGTTACGTCTTTGGCGAACCGAAAACGTTGCATTCGCACGGTGTTTCGCTTTGCTGCAAGCAATCTATAGTTTTAAATTGGACGCTCTGCACACGAGATGTGAGCAAGCGTGTTTTGGCGTGTTGGCTGCTCCGGCGATAGTGGCAATTGGAGGGCCGGCTCCTCCGATTCAGATTTTTTATGTTCTCGGAATTGAATTTAGAGGTTGAGAGCTCATCGTCCTCTGTAAAGTATCTCCGACTTAGGATTTGAAACCGCCGGAGTATCGTGGAAGCGGACGTGCCAAAATGAAACCAAATGGAACGAAGGCTACGATTTTTCACCTTCAATATTTCCATTTGATGCTTCTAAACCTGAACAGACTGCAAGTAATGTACCTGCTCCTGCTAGATAATTAAGAAAGAAGCTACTCATTGACCCTTTTTTTCTACTATTCCTTTGGAAACACACTCCAACCACTGGGAAACATCTTTCGGGGGAAAAAACTTGACCATCCAAAAGTTAAAGCGGTATTCACTCTAACAAGAAATGTGCAGAGGGTTGTGCATCACGTCAACAGTTGGGGCAACTCCCTCCTCAGCTGCGTCATCCACACAGACAGGTCTAACGATTTCCACGCTTGACACTGGAGCAGACGACTTTAGTGGTATCTACATTTGACGTCAAAGCTTTTATTGACCAAATAATGTTAGAAGCAAACTGATCTGCCACCAAGCTGGTACTGTTTTTGTCGCCTGAGCATCCCCTCCACCGCAAAAGTTGCCGTCACCGTGTTGGTCGCAGAAGTGTCACATTTCGTCAGTGGTGTCACTAAGATCCTCAGCACCCAGGGTGGTGGCCCGCTGAGGCACTTCCTGCACTCATGGCCCGCTGTGACCCCCCTTTCACTGTCTAGCTGTACCCCCCCGAGCGCTGCACCCGGGGTGGTCTGCATTGGGTGCAGACCGCCCCGAGTGACGCCGGTTGTTTTCATCACATGATGCGCACTCCACGGAGAAATTCACCGGATTTCTTTTTCGTGCGAATACCGCTTAAGAACAACATGTAGTTCAAAAGTGCACCTCTTCGCTTGCAGCCCTCATAATCATTGAAGGCTGGAAATATTTTATTTATTTGTTATATATCGGTATTGTTGGCCTTTTCTTAAAGGTCATTACAGAAGAAGTTGATAGATAATTACACAGTTGCAGCAAACTTGTGACAAACAAACAAACTTAAAAAAGTGCTCAGAGTTATAGCTGCTAAAAACACATGAATACAACTAAAGGAAGGCATAACACTATTTTAGCTCAAATTTACACATGAAAACCTTATATTTGAAAAAAATAGCACCGGTAGTACACCTTCTATCTTTTTATTACACACATTTTAAAAGCTTTTTCATTGGGAAAACATGTTCCAATAGAGATTGAAAATGACAGACGTTAGAGGAGCTAACAACTCACTCTGTGTGCCCTGACAAGCTGCTTTCCCTCGCAGTTGTCTACAAGGGAGAGTTGTACGTGTTTGGGGGCTACAACGGGCTCCTGCTGACCCACTTCGGCGACATGTACAAGTATGATCCGGGTGAGTGAGCGGCTCTTCACGATTGGGAAACGCATCAGCGGGATTGACTTAAAGGGGAACTCCGGCGATTTCTTTATGGTCCCCAATTTGCCTAAAAATTTGGTAAATACACCAACGAACATTGCTGGATAGTACCCCAAATATTAGGTCAAAATGTTTGTTTTCTGCAAAGTTATTGAACTTACAATTTTGGTCCTCACCACGTTTCTTAAAGTGAAGGTCTCTACTGGCAACAATGAAAAAGTGACGCCAGTGGAAAGCATGGGTTCACTTTTTGGGATGTAGATTTTGTTCCCAACTGATTACAAGCAGTTTTATTGTGTCAAATGAATGCTTTGGAGGCTTGCTCCAGTACCCGCAACAAATGCTTGGCATAGTTTATTTTTTAAACTGCTTGCTCGACTGGTTAGCCTGCCTTCCACTGAGGTCCTGGCACTGAAAAGTGAGCGTATATTTGAATGTCGATTTTACAGCAGAGCTGTTAAGGGCTATTTCCCCCATTATCGTGTCCGCGGACTAACAAATGTCGACACAAAGCTCCCGATAGGTACTGCCATCTAATGGCCTATTCGTCTGGGGCATACCGTACCCGTCCAGTGCAGTAAACTCTTTCCACTTTAGTACATGAAAGACTGGCTGGGAGAGAAGAAAGCTCCCCTCTCCCCTCTAGCCTTCCGTGTACCACGAACCGCACCGCACCGGTGCGACGCGAGCCCAGACGAATTGGCCATTAGAGCGACGGCGGCAACCAGACAACTGGCTTGCCGGTTGTTTCTTTGCTATTGTCGCTCATAGATGGCGGCAACCTTTCCAGCCTTTCCACTCTAGTTTTCACCAGAGTGGAAAGGCTGAATTTCTCTAGGCGTCATCCTCGAGGTCGTTTTAGACGTTGTCCTTGAGGTCATCCTAGACGTCGTCCAAGAAATTGTCCTCGAGGTCATCCTCAAGGTCGTCCTAGACATTGGCCTCGAGGTCGTCCTAGAAGTTGTCCTTGAGGTCGCTCTAAACATTGTCCTTGAGGTCGTCCTAGACATTGTCCCTGAGGTCGTCCTAGGCGTTGTCCTCAAGGCGTCGTGCTCAAGGTCATTGTAGAGGTCGTCCTTGAGGTTGTCCTAGAAGTCGTCCTTGAGGTCGTCCTAGAAGTCGTCCTAGACTTCGTCCTCGAGGTCGTCCTCTAGGCGTCGTCCTTGAGGTCGTCCAAGAAATCGTCCTTGAAGTCGTCCTAGACGTCGCTTTCTAGGCATCGTCCTAAATGTCGTAAAGATAACAGCTTCGCTGGTCCTCCATCTTCACGTGAAGTCAAAGGGCTCTAAATGTTTCGCAATATTTTCTTTTGCCGATTTTACAGAAACTATAATGAATTTCTCGATACTGAACAGCATACAGGAAAGGGTAAGCGCAAAGGATTCAGAAGATAAAACATAGTTAATTGAGGTAGCTAAACAAATCGCCAGAGTATACCCCTTTAAAGGCCGGCAAGCAGCCGGGAGGGAGTAAGCTCTCCCCCAATTCCTCATCCGGAAAGGAATAAACTCTCCCCCAATCCCTCTTTTCCATTCGAGAAAGACTTAAATGCTGTATGAGGGTGTGGAGGGAGAGGGGGGTCCCAGCAAAATGGAAGATTTGGAAAGCCGAAGCCGCCACCTCCCCCCCCCCCCCCCCCCCGGCTACGTGCCTGCCTGTGGTGCAATCAGAGTTATAATTGATCTTGCAAACACTTATCGATGTTAGTATTGCGCTACTGAAGAAACTGAAACGACGGAATGTAAGCTAGGCTAGAAGTTATCTACAGGAGCAAGATATTTCTTTCACTCTGAGACCGCCGCGTCGGCTTGTATTAGGGAGTTACCCTTGTTTGTCCGTCTGCCATTGTTCAGGTTATGAAAACTTCTGTTTGCTGAACGAGATGAGAGTTGAATGGCCCCACCTACATACCGCATCGTACGCGAAACGGTAGCCTTCGGAGCGGGCAGCTTGCACAGGCTGCCCGGTGCGCTGCCAGATGGCCTGAAACTTACGGCACCATCTGGGGGTGGCTCCGTGAAGCGAAGCGCGCGGGGTGCCATTATCTGGTCGCAGCGGAGAGCGGAGTTTCTACGCCTAAAGAGCCTTCTTACACCGTGAGTCAAAGCTATGGGCGCACGAGCGCTTGCACATCTTGGGCACCGAGCAAAGCATTGAACCTACACTCTTCACCTCTACTGAAATGGCTGTCCGAGAGTATATTGCGGCAATTGCGGCTAAGCGTAACTTCGGCTAAGGGTGCCCGTGCGACTAGGGCACTAAAGGGGTACTTAAGCTTACCTTGTGCGTGTTTGTGCAGAGAACTCTGTGTGGAGCCGGGTGAAGGTGCTGGGCGAGGGGCCCTGTCCCAGGAGGCGCCAGTGCTGCTGCATGGTCGGGGACCGCCTCTTTCTCTTTGGTGGCACCAGGTGAGTCGTTTCACCTCTGCACCATCCAGGCTCTCGATGCTCCTTCGCTCCTCTTTGAGACAACCAGACATCAGCTTCGGCGTTTTCGAAGTGTCGTTGAGCCCGTCTCAGCTCAGCTAGGTAGCCTGGAAAGGCTACCTAGCCCTAGACTTTTTCATTTTCATTTTTCATTTAAAGGGGCGGTGCAACAATTTGCGGACTTTGGCTAATTATTTGCGGGAATTGATCCCGGCTACATATAAAACGAAGGACCGAAAACTATTCTTTCCTGCTTGCCCTAGTTTTCATTAAAAAAAAAAATAAAAGAAATTGGTATCTCTGGCACCCCTCAACTCAACATTGAAGCGGCACCAGCTTCGCCTGTGACGTCATTTGGAGTCGCGTTGGTTTCCGGTTGGGTTCTGGCTTCCGTTTCCCCAGCGCTCGCCGGCTCACCAGGCCCGCCGCTCTCCCGCCGATTCCTGACCAACATGGCGGCATGGGCGGACGGCCTGAGCGACGTCGAGCGCAAGATGCTTGCGACGCGGCGGGCAGTCGAAGTCGAGGTCGAGACACCAGGAACAATAACGATACCACAATATTACGGACCACGACCAATGCACTCCGTCGAGCGAGGGAAAGACAAAACGTCCGGGTTGCTCGTGTAGTCGCCGTAGGCGCCTTGGGCGTCGACGGATGACGGCGACGGCAGGTTTTGTTGACTTTCGGTAGATGGCGCCACAAATAATTCATACCCTTTTAGCGGCAGTATTAGGCTTTTGAAGCGTTTCTGCATGCCTAAACAACCAGATTTTTTAAACTTGACCTTAAATCAAGCTTACAATTGCCTAACACTATCACTTACAAAAACCACTCCGAATGACGTCACACCACAGGTTCCATTTGCGGCCACCATGTGGCCGCAGGTTGGGAAAAAAAGTGTTTTTTACTTTACAATTACACAGCGAAATAGAGGTATTTTGGGGTATGGTGGCACTTTTTCTCTTACTTATGCCGAAGTAAACAATATAAAAAATACAAGCTGCACTTTCGTTCAGTGTTAAAATCATTGCACCGCCCCTTTAATTTACTATGCATTACATGAAGAGGGGAAAGCAAGAAAGTTAGGGAAGTCACAATATACATACATACATACATCTAAGCAAACTTATAACTAGGTGGTGATAACCAGGCTCGATCTTGAATGGGTCGTGAAAATCAACACCTGCACGTAGCAGTCTAAACTTTTCTTTGAAGGTGTATTTTACAGGTCGGTTTTAGGAAAGCATACGACACGCAGACGAAATTTGTCAGCAGCAAAAAGACCGTCGTTATGCAACCGCATCTTTTTATTTTTTTTTAAATTTAATTTTTGCTTTTATTGTTCTAATTAATTTTTAAACTTAGGGTACATAACAAACAGATCATGTTCATTTTACTAGACCACGGTCGTCGTGAGCAGTCTCGATAAGGAGGTAGTGCCATCTACCAACATGTGCGCAAAACACGCCCTGCCTCTCGGCTCGGTCGTCTGCGTTGCCGTTTGCCATTGACCAAGGCAAGTTCTTTGACCCCATTTTTTTACAGAAGGAAAGGTACGCTTTGTAATTTTACAAGATAAAACTGATCTGTGAAATATACCTTCGACGAAAAGTTTAGACTGCTAAGTGCAGGTGCTGATTTTTACGGCCCGTTTTAGACCGACCCTGGTTATTTCAGCTCTTAAGACACCCTTTAGATGCACTTTTCACAATTCAGGGCATCAACGAGCGCAACAAAAACAACATTGCAAGTGCAAAAATGATTGAGATAAAAAAGAGTTCTCAAATGAGATCGTCACAACTTAATTTAAACAATATCGGATCAAAAAGAGTGAAGCCGTTACCAGGGAGTCTTTCCAGTCACTTGCAGTTTCTACTTGCCCCAAAACATCCTGGGGAAAAATTGCTGTCTGACCTACTCTTAGGCTGCATTCACACTGGCATACAAATCGCAGCCACAAAGTGGATGTGTTTGTTTTCATCATCAACTGCACGTGAATTTGCATTGCATCTTTAAGGAACTGCATTCACCACTGCTTTGCAGATGTGGTTGAGCCGCCAGTGTCGACGCGGCGTTAGCATCAAGCAGGCATACCTCAAGACGAACAGGCACGCAAATCCGGAGCATTGTCTAGTGTTTGTGAATGGGAGAGAACCCAAGTACTGTGGAGGCTGCAGAATCTCGATCCTCCCCACTAGGGCATGGCAGGAAATGCCAGCAGTCGCAACCCTCAAGCCTCGTTCAAACATTCTTTGTTCAGCTGTCACTATACAAGGGTGCTTACTTGGGTTTGGCCGGCGCCGGCAGTCAATAACGTGTCTCAGAATTCGAGTTGATTGTCGTCGTCTCCTCGCTCCCGAGTTCCACTTTCAACCGGATTGCCGGGGAAATCTGGGGAAAGGGCGACGGGCTTGGCTTGGCGTTGCGATGCTCTGCTCAGCGGTGGTTTCCCGACGTTTCAGCCCGATCCCGAACCAAGGGAGCGTTCGCGAGCGGCTGCAGGAGTTTGACATGAACGATCAAGCGCTGATGGATCACTCGGACCTTCATGTGCTGGATTTCGGTGAGCCTTTCTGGGACTTCTCCGATTGGTGCTCGTTCTCCCCGCTGGTTTTCCTTCCACGCCTCTCTCGTTCGTGTAGAGTGGGTCACTGCTGAAGCGTAGCAAGTGGATGCTGGTGCTTGTTTGCGACGGCCAGGGAATCTGCCCGCATACTGCTCTCTTGTGCAGAGTTGTTGCATTGGCTGCCTCTGAAGGCTCGTTCACACACTTGCGTTTGCTTACGATCAAAGTTCTTGCGATCTCTTACGACGAGAAGATGCACTGGCATGCTGGCACCATCTATAGAGTACCGTGGGACTGCACTTCTCTGGAGTGGAGGTTGTGCACTATTTGCAAGAGAAAATGTATGTACTATCTATGAGAAACGATTGCCTATAACATTGCTAGAAGTGTTTCGAGCCAATAAAGAAAGAATGATGTGCGAAAAAGATGGGAAATATACGGATATGCCAAGTGTTCCATGACTGCTTGATAGATGGTGCCAGTGTGTTCTATCATCGTACGAGGTCCCAAGAGGTTTTAAGGCACACTGTCTTTAGCAGTCGAAAGTGTGTGAACCAACTTTCAGGTTTCCTTTCGGTGGTATGTTAACGTGACTTTTCTTTAAGAAACACTAAAATGAAAGAAAAAATTTTTTTTTAATGCACATTAATGGCACACATATTTGTTTTAGTAAATTTTCCACAAAATAAACAAATAATTTCGCATAATATTTACATCGTTAGATGCAATCTACGTGGAGGTCACGGCACGCTCTAAGCCCCGCCCCCAGATCAATGGTCCCGCCCATTACTACTGGATTGGCTTGGCTGTTGGCTGAACACGCTAACAAGGCCAGTGTCTCCCTTTCGCAACATCCGGTGCGTCTAGCCTGGTGTCTGACGCCGCCTGCTAGTCGTGCGAGCAGACGCGCGGCAGCCTCCGGCATCTTCTGCCATATCACCACCGTCTATCGTCGTCTGCAATGCCCGTAGAATGCGGACATAAACACTGCACGTCGGCGTCCGTTTTCGTCTTCGTCTGTCTGCTATTCCACCCCCATCTAGAAATGTTTACGACGCTCACAATACTTAACCATACAAGCAGCGTTCTAACGTTCCATCATGCGCGAGAAACGGTACGATACAGGCATCTGTCAGCATCCTTAGATGTGTGGTAAAAAGCAACCAGAGGACTAAAAAAATATGTAGTCATTTCAGCTTTTATGTTCTTGTTATTTTTTTCACATGGCGTCCGCGAGCAAGGTGAGTGAGCGTCATGACACAGAATTAAAACGTGACCTAAGAATATTTGCTTTGGCAGGCCAGATGCATTGCAAAACTTGAGAGCTACTTGCCTTTCAAAGTGAAATGACAAAACATAGACAAACTGATATGCGAGCCGAACGCCCGATGGCCTCCAGCCAGATGGCTCGCAAATTCTTACCAGTGTAAATATCTTCTCAATATTAAACCATGGTTGCAATCACAACTGTTGCACAATTCACAGAGCCGCGGGTCCGCTTTCAAGGGAACCAACATCTTTATTCAGCACCAAGACGCGCAAAGGAACAAATCGAGCGAGATCCAGCGACAAAGTTGTTGTGGGACGCTAGGCATAGGCCAGTCCCGTTACGAACCATAGCACCCGCACAGCGCTTCTGAAGACGCATACTAGCGACAGTTGTTTGTTGCAAACTAGGTCAGTTGAGGACATCTTCCTCCAAGCACCACGGCGAACGCAGAACAACTTGCACTCGTAGCTGTAAACGAGCTCAACGAGCTATGCTCGTTGAGCACGCTGCACACGCCGGCAGCCATGTTTGTTATCCTTTGAAGCCAAAGCGGAAAGACAATCTCGGGATATCTTTGAAAACAAGAATGACTCTATCTAGATTAGTTGTTTCTCAAAAATGAAAATATTGTCGATATAAATACCAGTATGGCACGGAGAAACAATTTTTCAATGAACATTTTACACGTCAGTCATCTCTCCAACCAATGAGAGCCCAGAAAGGGTGCTTAGTTTTGTAAGCACCGGGCGGGGCCTAGAGCGGGACTACCCCCACCTAAATTGCCACTAACCACGTAAAAATTGCAATTTTTTTTTTTTTTTTTTTGGAGAGAAAACTGTGTCAGGTTGTGAGTATCTAGGTTTCCTGGTGACAAAAGGAACCGGCAACAATTCGGCCGGAGCAGATTGCACAGTGCCCTGCTGTAACGGGAGCCATCTTGCTTACCGTTTCAGTGACGAATCTACTGCTCCACGGTGGCTTTCGAAGTTGGGGCTTAGAAAAATAGAGTTTTAAAAGTGCCCCCTTTTAATTATGCATAAATTTTAAGTTTTTATACCCGTTAGAGTCACCTTTGCATTGCTTTCCTCCTGCAGCGCCAACGTTAAAGACCCTCTGCCTCCTGGCTGTGATCAACTCTCGTCTCGACGTCAGTCACCTTCCTCAGGACATCAGGCAAGTGGACTGGAGCGGAGGCTTCATTATCCGACAAAATGGCATTGTCTGCCCGGGCTCGTTCTTTTGAGGTAGAGAAGGCTCCCTTTTCGATAACCGTTTCAGGAAGAGATTCTGCGGTTAGTGACTCCCGGCTGCTTTTCTCTTCAGAATGTAAAGTCGTAAGTGGGCATTGTTACCCGAACCGCTAGCCGTTAGAGCTTTGGCGATGAGGACAGATCTGCGGCAGGCCGAGCGGTGCGGCAAGTCGCCGATGGTTCCCTGCAGGCCCATGGTTGCATTTCAGGCTGAAGAAAATACCATTTGTCCCCCGTGTTTATCGGTTTCTTGACTGTCAGCATCGCGAGCTTATCGTGGCATTGCTTTACTTTGTAAAGCAAACTTGTGGCAACCCTCTAATCATGGCACAGGTACTTGATTCTACATGTAACAAAGCATCTGGCATATTCAAAAACTTGGAGGACGCTTAAGCTTCGCCTTTAAGAGTGGAACGCGATACCGTTATTGGGCCCCGCTTGCATCGCCTTCTGATTCGCTTCTTATGCTCTTCCTGCCAGTCAAAATCAAAAAGTCAAGTTTGGGGGTTTTACATGCCAAACCTTTGACTGGCATCTGGCACGCCCCAGCGGAGGCTTGAGGATTAATTTCGACCACCTGGGGATGATTTGACGTGCAACCGAAAGCTCGGTTACATGGCGCCTTCTCCGCAATAATCCTCAGTCGTATTACGGGCACCTCGGTCGGGTTTCGAACCCGCCACCTAGGGATCCGTAGGCCGGCGCTCTCGCCTCGGAGCCACCGAGGCGGCTCTTCCTGCCAGTGAGCAGGAAATGCGGCGAACATGGCCCAGTCAGTAACTTGTCTGGCTCGCAGCCAAAAGGTCGTGGGTTTAAATCCCGCCTAAAATTCTTCAAATTTTTTTTTTGAAGGCAAAGGATTTACGTTATAAAGTGAAATCATTTGAGTCATGTGGCATCCTTTGATTCGCATTACATGTCATGTTTTTTAATCACTTTCTTCTCACGCGTGACGTCACGTTTCATGTGAGCGCTGTGGGTTGTTTGAAATTTCCACGCGAGGTCATGTGGCTGCAACGTCATGACCCTATCGCCCAATCAGGAGCTTCCCGTCACAACGCCATCGACGCCGACGCCGGCTTTTCTGCGACACAAGCTTCTTAACGCTACACATTAATACTGTCAAAACCGGATATAATGAAGTCGGTTATAACGAAATAGCGGATATAGCGAAGCGATCACGATTTCCTTTTCCCTTTTGCACTACGTTACAACCGAAGTCGGTTATAACGAAATAGCGGATATAACGAAGTGATTTCCGATTGCCGTTGATTTCGCTATAACCGGTCTCGACATTATATATGTAAAGAAAGCCAACTTTACTCCGGGAAGGTTTCAGTGTATACCGGCATAGTAAAGATAGAGAGAGGGAGGGACAATAGACACTGTATTTTGGGAGGTCATAGTGAAGGTGGGGTTATTGTTTGCCTGTGCAAATAGTGGCTCGAGTTGAATAGTACTGCAACAGTCGTCACTTGTGCCGTTTGCAGTTTGAGGGAAAAACACAACCGCCAGTTTCCTTTATAGTGGGCTCTTTCGATTTACCTGCACCACGTACATCAGCTGCACTTGGTGCAGACTGTTGTGTTCGACTTACGGGTGCAACCTATCTCAAGACACATATCGGATGTACACTGCCTCGCATTTTTCTGTACCATGCCACTCTTTGCTGCACTGGTGCAGGCTGGTGCAGGTAAATCGAATGAGCCGAGTGTTGGAGCTAAGGATAGCACTGCTATTTGATTCAAACCACTATTCCCACAGACTTAACATAATAGCGAAGCGAGTTTGTGTAAGCCCCTGATAAGGTCTTTCATTCGGCACCTCAATACTGATTGACACACTAGTAGTCAAAGAAAAAGCCGAGATCACTGTAGAGAGGTCACGATATGACTGTAGTACTGATATGCTGAAGTTGACTACTGGTACTGCCATGTTTTTATAGAGGTAGTAGAACTCACTACAGTATAGCTTAATATTTCATTTTCACGTGAAACATTCTTTGGCTAGTTGCTCCGAGTTTTGTGAAGCCGTGGCTTGTGACGTCCCATAATGCAGTGCGCGCAGTTTTGCGTAATGGGACGTCACAGACCTACACACCAATTCAGTTTCTCCACTAAGTTTAGCGGGGAAGTTGAATTGGTGTATATATAGGTCACGTGACGTCAGGTCATGTGACGTCAATTAATCCACTAAATTTAGCGGGAAAATTAACTTCTCGCAACCATTACACCAATTAGTTTGCCTGCTAAATTTAGCGGGGAAATTGGCATCACGTGATCTGATATCACTTAATGCTAGAGCGTTTCACGTATGTAACACAATTGCCCAGCAATTTAACATATTTTTGATTGATCCTTCCTCGGTAAGTACGTTCTATTTATTCCACTCGAAGATTTGGGGAAATTAGCAAAAATATACTACCGGTCGTGGAACTAAAAGATGCAGCCATTTGGTGCTGCAAGTACAGTCATTGTTTAATATAGGTAGTAAAACATGCATAACTAAAGATTTTGTTGTTGCACTGAACATTCCTGGGAGTTTATTTTGCATTTGTTGCAGCGAGCTAGTCGGAGAAACTTGAGAGGATGTTGTCGTTCGGGGAATCGAGGGTTGCAACTGTGGCTTCGAGTTTTCCGCGATTGGTCCTTTTTGGTTCGTTGCAGGTGGGAGATCTGTGCCATGACCACCAACAACAGCATCTCGCGCCCCTTGCAGACGACTGGCTGAGTAGAGTTACTGCAGCTCGTTTCTGCCCGTGCAAATTGTGGACTGTACTCTCCCCGCTCATTCCGGACAAAGCAGAGGGAGTGCTCCCAACGCCGCGTGGGGTGTAAGTGCAGAACACTGCTGCGTCTCGGGGCGCTCCGCCGCTCCGACGCTGCCTGCAGGCGCCACTGCAGACGGCTCCGACGCCGCCTGCAGTGGCGCCGGATTCGAGTGGTGCTCGTGACGTTTGCCACACCAACCCGGGAGCAGAGCGCTTTGCCGGAGGTACAAACACGAGGAGGCTCGCATCATTTTCAGTGTGGGCTTCTCGATTAAATTCCCTACGCTGGAGTGCAAGAGTGAGGTAGCGCGAAGACTGCTGCATCACTGGCTTCATTTCTGCTGTGCGGACAGCTTCTAAAAGTGCGCCAAACCCGATTTTGGCTTCCTCCAGGTGCGGGAAAACTGAATCTAGAGAGTAGGAAGACTCAAACACGTAACAGTAGTAGTTCATAGGTGCGTATTGCTTGCATGTGGACGGAATTCAAAATTGAAGAAATTTTAGATGGAGTAAAATTTCTTGCAGGAAGGATATGGCTCCTGGTTCCCGTGTGCAAAAATCAATTTCTGTCTTCATACCTGCCCTCATATTTGGTTGTGTACGTTTTTTTTTGTTTTCTTTACATATTTGTTGCAAGAGTTTCGGTTAAGTTTGTTCTCAATGCTAATGCAAACCTGTTTAGTCCCGCTTCGGCTTCAAAAAGTCTCCTCGTATGACGCGCGAGAAAAAAGAAAGTGCGATACACCGAAAGGCTCGACCATTGCCAAAAGTGTCGACCATTTCACCGCCGATTTACGACTAAGTTGTTGCAAATGTAGGTGGCGCAATCTGACAGCTGATTCAACCAATTCAATCACTTTACATCCACCCATCCATCAGTTTCAGATGCCTGGACTGGCATGTTGTTAACCGATCGTGCTCTGGAGGAAACATCTCATACCTGTGCTATCGCACACCGTTACTTGCCGGAGCGAAACGGGTTCATCCGAGCGAGATTTTGGAAAATAGCCGACATCCGCTCTCACGTCGTATATGTATGAAAGAGACTGGTGCATTAGCACTCCGCTTTGCGTGCAGGTCGTTCAGACGTTGAAGTGTGTTAGCTTACTGTCGTTCAGGTCGTATCCAAAGGATATCGATAAGGGCGCTTTTCCCGACCCTTGCTAGTCTCCCTTTGCTCGATCGCGGGCTCTTTGGAAAGTCCTCTGGTCGGGCGGACGTGTGCAAGAGAACCAGAGGGACGCAGCGGTGATTACCGCTGGGATGCCTGAAATGCATCTCCAACCAATCTGCTTAATTTGTCCTTGTTTTGTGGTCGCTCGATTTCCTCCTGATGACATCACGAATGTATCACGCTGTTGCCTACCATGATTCTGGCAGTGGCCAGCTGTGGAGTAGGAAACGGCAGACTGCTGCCACGCTGTGGGTCATTCTCTGGCGCAACAGTTCAGGGCAGTTTCAGCAAGAAAGAGCTAGGACGCTGCAGCGACAGTGACACCTGCATTTGCTCTTAATTTCTTTCCGGAACTTCTGCCGCTAGCCGCTAGGATCACGGCATCCGTCAGCAGGATGTGCCGGCCCCCCGTGATGTGATTGGTTGCCACTTCGAGACCACTTTCGATAAGTGAGCGGTGTTGGACGTTATACGCACCAGTGTTGAACGTGGTCCAGGTATCTTGCTGTTGCTCTTTGCCCGGATGGCCATGATAATGGAAGCCATGAGGATCACTTCGCTTTACAGATCATGTGCAATCTTGTACAAATTACTATACCGATTTCAGCGGAAGACGATATCCTAAGAGAAACTGTTGTTGTTGGCCGTTATTGACGCTGATTGCTCTCGAGAGTGTAAGGGGAGGCATTGGTCCTGAACATTTGGCTGTCGTTTCTCTTCTGATTGAAGTGAAATTGTCGTACATACTGTAGTTTTGGGTGCCGAGCCCAACTACGCTTACCTTTTTCTTATTTATTACAACTTTCTAGCTTTATTGGAAATTCTAGCTTTATTGGAAATGCTTCTGCCCAAATCTTTTACAATACCCCATCAAATTTAACTAACTTGTTTCCTAAAGTATCTAGGCATGTTCCGCAAACGGTATTACTAGAGTGTGCGGCAAAACTAATCTTGTTTTTGCACCATTCTAAAAAAACTTATTACTGTAAAAATGTTTTCACTCATAACTTCAAATAAATCATTTCTTATTTTTGACATTTAGGAAGTCGTATAATTTTTCTTTTTTTCAGGACTCTTCTTGCAGTACATTCATGTTCTACTTCCAAAAATACATTGGCAAAAAGTAAAAAAAAAATCTTTTTGAAAAAACATTAACGTCCAAAACTTTTTTTACATATTTTGTGAGGCAATTTATTATGGTGTCCGAAGACTACCCAGTGAATATTTTGCTACAGCGTCGCATATATTTTTAATAAAGTAAAAAAACGTAACTGCTCAAAACCGATACCGAAAGTGGACTGGAGAGGAAGAAGAAATATTGAGGAGAAGGTTGCCAAAAATCACGTGGCTGCGAAACTTTTTTTTTTATCATACTATGTTTTAGAAGCTACAAAAACAGTTTTTTTTTTTTACTTTTGATATTGAGTGTGTTTTGATCACCCACAGCCTTGATTATATCTGGTGGTTGTGTCTAAATGAAAGGAAACTGCACGTGACCTCAGAGAAGAGAGTGAGCGCAACTCAAACCGACCAGTTCTCGATCGACGCTTTTCAGGTGGAAAGAAAACGAATTTCAAGCCGCTAATTGTGTTCTGGCTAGTTGGGCTCTCATATGTCATGTACAACTAAAAACCTTGGCGAGCATAAATACCCTGTCGGTGTCCCTTTAACGACGTGCTCATAAGCAGCTTGCTCACATAACTTTGAATTGACATGACTAAATAGATGTACACTTTGTAACTTTGCTGCAAAATAGAAAATAAAATAAAATGTTTTCCTAGTATCCTATATACTATTTCTCTTCAAGACCAGTGACTCCCCTTTAATTGAGTAGATTATTTTGGGCTCCAATAAGAATGAGACATCCTGGTCTCTATCGTAGAAGTACACCATGTGGCTCGGTGAATGACTCGGGCGCGAGGGCGTTTGTCTCGTGCGTGGACAGAACACCCTGCATAGTCTTGAGTGCCATCAAAGACGCGAGGTTTAATGCTTCGAGCCACGTCCCTCCTACGTTGCTGCACACAACTGGGGCATAATCTGACTACTTGGCAGGAAAGGCACATTCTTATGGGCTCAATTCGTACGCACAATGGACTATTTTCCGAACGGACCGATCTCGTCGAGCGTTTGGCGCATGCGTGAAACCGCCCTAACTTTGGTCCACAGGAGGCTGGCGGCAGTGTCCGAGACTAGAGTATGTGCTCCGTTGCCTCTGCATGCGCACAGCGGCAGCAAGGTTGTCTCACATGTAGGAAGACTGAAGTTGTCTCGATGCATTGCGGCAGCGGCGGCGTATCCAAGCAGGCCTTCAATATCTATTAAGTGTGAAGGTGTGGCCACGATAGGTGTACCCTTTGGGTGGAAGTGAGCTAGCTACGTCCTGTTGGATTCGTTACCTAAACAACCTAAACATACCCTTTTCAAAACTCCATCGAGCAACGTTGGCTGTCGCCATTTCTGGGACACGAAGCGTGCGGTTGGATCTGAGTCCTTGCCAAACGTTGACGCAGCGCTCGTTCTCGATAACAGTCGAGTCAAGTTGACGCCGAGTGCTCACGTAGCCCTTGTGTTCATTACGTGGTCAGAGCGCGTGCCCACGTAATGGCGGACTCTCTGATACTTGGCGCTGCAGCTGCTAGACAGCATGCACTTTTGAAAAGAAGAAGCGTCTCGAGGAACGCAGAGAGTGTGAATGAAGGAAATACCACAAGTCCGAAGAGCGATGCTGCAGAATTGTTGATTGGCTCCAGACGTGCTATTTGTAACAATAAATCTACCGTTGAGCTTTGCATGAAGTCCCATATCCGAATTACAATGTTTGAGATGATTTCAAATTTTTCTCGTTGTCATATTGGTACCAGGTACACATAGAAATATAGCAGCTCAGACTAAGGATTCAATATTCTTGCATCGTGCCAATGCCATGCCTCTCCTGGGCACTGAAAGTTGGTCCTGTTGGTCTGTGCAGATTCTGCAACGTCTCTGACGTGATTTGTATCGAGAGGTGAGATGGAGAGTCTTCTGTTCATTTCGATAAATTGTGGATATTTTTGCTCGCGTGTTAGAAAGATTTTTACCATTTCTTTGATTCGGTAGTGGCGTGATTGGTTTCATATTTTTAGTCAGTTTCGGAGTGCTGTGCGTGTCCTCGGGTTTTCGGAAATCTTGTTGCACACAGCAGAGTAAGAAGTTCGCGAATAGTTTTTTTGTTCGTCGGTGTAAATAATGCTGCTTCCTCTGTGTAAGACCAAGGATGTTAGGGTGTGTATGGTATTTATGGGCCAGATGTACAGCTGGTGCATGTGTATTATTTTTTGTTGTGCGAGACCATCCCTAATTAAGCTTAATAAAGCATTGGTCATTTGAAACTCCTGTGTCTTCAGCCTCGTGCTTCTTTAAAAATTGTGAAGCGTAAAGTCCCGAATAAACGCCCAACCGCAGAAAAATACATATTAAAAGAAATTTGCTGTCTTGGCCATTTTTTTAAGGCGTTCTAAATGCATAGCATTTAGAATGCTTTCATTTTCATTTTCTGATACAAGGCACAAACACAGCAAAACATTACCTGAATACTTTTAACGGTTGTTTCGAGTAAATAGTCTTCCCTTTAGCCGTCAGGGAGTGGAATCAACTTGATCCTACAATTACTAAAAGCTCCACCCTCACATAATTTCAAAATCCGATTTTTTTTTTATGGAGTTTGTATGTAAAATATGGGTATTTTAAAGTGAATATAATTTTTGTTTCTTTGCCGTTCGTTGGACTTTTATTTGCATTTTTTTTTTCGTGCATGATTTGATGGTTAGGCGGGAACATTAAAATATGTTTTGTGTATAATAATTCTCTAATAACCAGGCTCGATATAAAGTGGGCCGTAAAAATCGCCGCCTGCACATAGCGATCTAAACTTGCCATCAAAGGCGTATTTTTACAGGTCGGTTTTATCCTGTAAAATTACAAAGCGTAGCTCCCTTTCTGTAAAAAAATCTGGCCAAAAAACTTACCTGGGTCAACGACGGATGGCAACGCAGGCGACTGAGTCGAGTGGCGGAGCGCATTTGGCACGTACAGTGAGTCCATAGAGTGAGTTGTCCATAATACGGAGACAAAAATGCATGCATTTTCCCAGTTTGTCTCCGAAAGTGGTATCCATATTAGAGAGTTTTAGTAGACCGTGTTTTCCCCTCCGCTACGAAGAAACCGTCATTGCGCCTGTGCGCCGATGGCCTTGGCTGTAGAGTTCCGGGTAGCAGAGGGGCGTAGCGGAGGGGGAAACACGGTCTACTAAAACTCGTTATTAACGGGGTCCAAATTAACGAGACATGACTGTATTGATAAATGGCACTACCTCCTTATCGAGACTGCTAAGGATGACCGTGGTCTATTAAAATGAACGCAATCTTTTATTTCATTCTTTAAGGCGAAAACACTAACTGTCCCATGGAGCGAGCCGACGTCATCAGCTTTGAAGCCGCACCAAACGGCACCTTAGCTCCTTTCTTCAAGTGAAGCTGGCTGCCAGCTTTGAAACCACGCAAAAACTCTTGCCAAACGGCACCTAGTTTCCCCGATCCCAAAGGAGCGGAGTGAAACTGATGGATTTCGCCTTCAATCCCATTGGCTGGCGTGCGTCATAGTTTCAAGGAACGAGGCTCCCATTGGCCGCTCCGCGTCATCTTTCTTGACGTCGTCCGAGACGCCGTTCTTAACGTCGTCCTCGACGTCTCATCCGAGAGATCGTCCTCGACGTCGTCGTAGAGGTCGTCCTAGACGCCGTATTTAGCATGATCTCTAGAACGTCGTCCTCGACGTCGTCTTACACGTCGTCCTAAACTTTAATACGTGTAAAAACATTACTCGAAAAACATTTCTCTTGCCGGGACTATAATGCTTTCGCCTTCCTACACTTAAGAAGTCTTGAGTGTCCTCCTGTAAGTTTTTTTTTTAAATTTTTTTATGAATGGTTCACGACGTAATCATTGACGTCCGCGCGACTGCCGCGCGCCACTTCGAAATAAAGTGGGTGTTTCATCTCTATGTAATCGTTTAATCTTCTGTCTCTGTGCAATCGTTTAATGTTCAAGCTGTTTCCTCACCATCACTGCAGCCTCGTGTGTATGTCTCGTCCTGTCTCGAACTAGCTCAACCCAACCCGATAATTACTTCGTGGGTACAAATGCGAATGTTTGCGTGCTGCCGCTCCGTGTATGCGCGGCGTGGGTTTATCTGCTTGCTAGGACGACGTCTAGAATGACCTCTAGGACGACCTCTAGGGCGATCTCAAGGAAGACGTCCTAGAAGACGACGTCAAAGATGACGCCTGTGAACGACCTCTAGGGTGGTATCAAGGACGACCTCAAGAACGGCGTCTAGGACAACGCCAAAGACAACGTCTAGGACGACATCCTAGAGAACGACGTCAAAGACTACGCCTAGAACGACCTCCAGGAATATATCAAGGACGGCCTCAAGGGCGACGTCTAGGACAACGTCGAGGACGACGCCAAGAACGACGTCTAGGATGACCTCAAGGACGACCTCTAGAACGACGTTGAGGATGACGTCAAGGACGGCAGGTCCTTCAAAGAAGGTGCGAATGTGGACTGCGTACTGCAGCTCCACATACGCGCGGGGCGCATAAGCACGGCGCATTCGAAGCCAGGTACCGTATCGCGAAGAGCGTGGGAAGTAGGTAAAGGATGCCATCGCATTAATATAATAACCCTTGCGGCTCTTATCCGCAGTTAAGGTCTATACTTATAGGGAACGAAAAGTCGCGCAGTTGCATAAAACGCACCAACAAAACTTCCGAAAAAAAAAATAGCGACTTTACACGGGAATTTACTGCACATTTTCGTTTTTCGCTGAAGCTTTTAACCCCCTCCCCAAGCGTAAAACAAACATTTTTTTTTGCGACAGGGAGCGGGTGTGAATGACTTGACACAATTTAGTTCCAACTGCTTATCGTCTTTTTTTTTTTTTTTTTTCCTGTTTACGCGACGACAATAATTCGGAGTTCAAAGTGGGCGGACGAAACGTGACGAAGCAAAGTTCCTTCGACGGTGCGCGCAATGATATCGGCGCTTCTCATCGTCGCTATCTCATTTTGTTGCATTCCGAGCGCGGCCAGTTTGCTCGAACATTCGCAATTCGGCGCCCGAAGTGGACGACTTCCATCGCTCTCAGTGTCAACAGCTCGGACACGGTAAGGCTGCCCTTTCCTTTCGACGGGATTACGTGTTGGCAATACCGCGCTTCTCGCTTTTGAGCTCGCTTCAACAAGCGGCGGCTGCTTGCCCCTCTGGGACAACTGCCGCGGTCGTCGAACCCGCGCTCCCGAAACAAACACGGTGAAGGCCGCCGGTTAAGTTCACCTGCGTAGCTTTGAAGGCAGCCAATCACAACGCCGCTGTCACACTGCTCGTGCACCATACAAAAGACGCGGTGTTGGCCGCGGAAACAGCTCAAGCATATTCGAAGTATGTTTGCCTCATGCACTTGTGTGCTTCCAATATGTTGTACGACCAACACAAGAAAGAAACATGCCTCGGACAGAGTCCGCGGACTGTCCCTTGTGTGACGCAGTGTGAACGCGGCTTTACATTTTTTTTTATTGGTTAAAAAGCGCAACAGGAGAACGGACAGAAAGGAAGACACAGACACAGCGCTGTGTATTCCTTTCTGTCCTTTGTCCATTTGGGCTTTTTTAACCATTATGAGCCACCAACTCCCTTAACACTCCACCCTCGTCAATTACATTTCTTTCCTTGCGCTAAGCATTCGACGTTAGTCCGTTAAATGGAATAAATTTTAATTTATATGTAAACCACCGTTTTCTGCATAAACAAAAAACAAACAAAAAAAACTAGCAGGCTCAGCTATTTGCACGAGCGCTCGGTTTCCGTTGGTGTCTGCTCACGAGAGCGCAGCGTACGGATCAAACGCAGGCTCTGAGGTGCCGTGGAAGCTTGGTGGAAACTACGCTAGCCCTGACGCACGATCTCCACAGCCCGTGGATAAATGTCAATGGTTATACCCTTTGTAACGGGTGGTTAACTTGCGGCACCTAGCCTAAGTCTAAAAAGAGAAACCCAGCAATGTCAGCACGCCCATGTTGGTCGCTTCGAAAAACGAGCAGAGCACGCGCCATACGCAGGAGCGCTGAAAATGACACCGGTCAGGGAGTGAGTTTCTGGAATGTTCTATGGACCAATAAAAACCACAACTGGCCTCTGGCTGGTGTTAAAACCGCTGAGTAAGCCACGCTTCAGGGTAACGACACCTCAGCCATAGATGGATGCTAGGGCTGTACCCTTCAAAATGGGCGGTAGCTTGCTCCATCTTGTTGCTTAGGATCGCTGTGGCCAGTTTCCCCAAGCGTTCACAGAAATCGCAGGAAGAACGGGTTTTCGGCCTCCAGGAATGCTGAAACAAGCCTCGACAGACGATATCGCCTAAGCTTTCTCAAACCGGTATATACAAAGCTCGAGAAGGCGCGCATGAGCGAATTGTGCACAAGCACCGAAATGGCGGCGCCTACGAGAAAATCGGCGAATGAAGTGCCGATGCACTAGGCGTATCTAGTTGCTCTAGCTGGTGTCATTTAAAACGTTCTAACGTATGGCGCATGTCTTAGCCAATACCACCAAGAAGACAAGGCTTAGCGCGGCGCTATGCGGAGAGCAAGTTCGTCTGCTTCTTTTGCGGGGGTTTGGTGGCATCAGAACCGCAAGCTCTGATTGGCTCTGATTGAAGGGCCTCAAAGCAAGCTGCCTTGAGGTCTACCCCCTATCCTTCAGTCAGAGCCAATCAAAGCTCGGCGTCTTTCTGACGTCAGCACAACCCCTGCAAAAAAAGCAGACGAACTTGCACTCCGCATAGCCCGCCGCGATGCCAAGACGGACGCGGACGGAGCTCCGGCGTCTGTGCCGCTTGGGGTGGGCCGGGAATCCACAAACGGTGACGTCATTCGTAGGCCTTGTTTTCTAGATCGCATTGGCGAGGCTGCGTATTTATAAAAACACTGGAGAGGTGCATGGGCGTTGCTCACAGCCGAAAGATTTCTCGAACTCTGCGCAGCGACTTCGCCCGAACCGCATGCTCAACTGAGGATCCAGCGCAAGCATGGAGCTTCCGGACAAGTCGAGGCTGGAGCCCCGCCATGGACCCGAGCCGCCGGCGCGCTGGTCGCCGACGGATCTCGAGCCCTACCCGACGGCTCACACGAGGTTCCAGGAGTTTGTGGCGTCGGGTGGTCGCGTGGCCGGCAACCCTAGTGTCGACTACGCCGGAGGATGGTCGATGTCGCAGCAGCAGCAGTACGGGGCCGGGCAGCAGCAGTCCTCCTCCAAGTGAGGCGTCTATCGCACACGTCTCGCTAAAGGCTG